CGGCCGCCGCAGGAATGGGTAGAGATCGCCCGGATAGAGAGAGAGAGAGAGAGAGAGAGAGAGAATATAACGGAATCTTAATTCTTGTGTACTTTTATGTTGTATTTCAAGAAATTCTTTGACAAAAATAAATATAAATCTTGTGTAACGTATAGAGTAGTTATAGTGTATCGTAAAAGTGATGTATAGCTATATGTCCAAAAGATTACAAAAAGATTGAATTCCCAATGTATTGTCTATGGGAGCATACGGGCAAAGCCTACCCTTTTTGGACAGCTAGATGTATAGTATGTGAATGTGAATTGTTTATATGGTTTACCTGTATATAAATTATTTGGTGGTATTAATAATTCTGATTCTGTGTTTAAAATATGTGAACAATAGTTTTTCATTTTATTTTTATATATATAATTATTTTGTTAATTTCAAAATATATCGCAATTTATATAATAATATCCGAATTGTATTGGAAAAACAATTTGCAATTAAAATTTAATGTCAATAAATACCTGTAATGTATAGAAAGAGATGTGTGTTTCCAAAAACCAATTGCGGGCAAAAGCCAGTCGTTTGCCCGCTATATATGTATGGCTTTAATGCATAATTTAAAACACTTGTCATCACGTATGAGAAAGGGATGGGAAAGGTATGTATGTGTGTATGCGGTGGTGGCTGTGTGTGTGTCTGGGAATGTGTGTTATTGTCAATTGTCATAAATATATTTATATATATAAATTAAAGGAGTGTTTTGTTGTGTCGATTCCTTGTCTGTTAACAATCCGATTACACCAGTAGTGGAGGCACTCATGAGATTAAGAAATGGTTTTTTGTTTTTAGTTTTGCAAGAATTTCCACAGAGATATCAATCCAGAGAGAAATATAGAGGAATAGACACCAAAAAACAACACTATATGCCGTCAAAACAAATGTTCAATTCTTTGCGTTAAATTAAAGAATTGTATATTTATTTGACTTTATATTCAGTGATGTTTTTTTTTGTTTGGTATGAATACNATATAAATGAATGAAAATTGAAAATAAATTGAATACAAAATGAATAAACAATTGATTTGTAAATTAAATATCACTTTTCAGATGAGTCTCTGTTTTGTGGCATTCATTGCAAACCAAAAGCAGAGAAACCTTTTGTGTATAATTTTTTCGGTAAATTTTAAAATTGATATATTTTCCAATAAATTACATATAATTTGTATTGAATTTATATAATATTCCATTAATTAAAACATGTGTTAAAATTAAATATGAAAATAAAATGCATTTAATACTAATGCCCAACATTGCTTACAATTTACACCTAGGAGTACATTTTATAATTGTGTCCATTATTGTGGATTATAAAGTAGTTTTAAAATTAACTTGGTAGTTCTATAATCACGTTTAGTTAATTTCAACCCTCACCTCTCTAAATAGTCGTTAAACCAATCAATTTTTCATATAAAGTGGTAATAAAAGTTTGAGAAAATCGATCATATGTTGTGGTCATATCGTTTTGTGCACAATTCAACGGACCACACAAGTTATGGAAAATTTGACAGCACGTAATTTCCTAACCTCTGATTGTATAGCTTTAAGTGTTATATTTTATACCAAAATAAATGCTTTTTAGAGACACATTAAGTTCACTGAAAATTTTATGACACGTAATTCACAAGTTCAGAATATTTTTCCTAACTCTGACTTTATTGTAAAAATTCTGAGACATTTGTAGTTTAGGAAAATTTAAATTAGGTATAGAATTAATGGTTATTATGTATTCTAATCTCTTCTAAACCCTTAATCTATGAAATGTATATTAATATGAAGTAATCCTTTCCTATAATGCCTTTAATAATAAGAATGCAATACTTTATGCAATTATGGGTTCCGTTATATGCGAACAATCAATGTCTTCGAGAGTCCGATATGTCATTCAAACGAGAATTAAATTCATTTCATTATTAAATACAAATTAAATACAAATTAAATACAAATTAAATACAAATTAAATACAAATTTCAAAAATATTTATTTAAAAAGTTTCAAATGATTGAGAAGTGGTTTCAAGACATCGCGCGGTCGCGGAGTTGTGGCCACACATGTGATGATGCCTTCGGGCTGTTCTGTCCAGAGATGGTATGCAATGCTATTTTGGGATAACTTGTGGCAAACGTCTCGCAACACCTCTTCGTTGTCCGCTTTGAGGACCACTTTAGTCATGGACTCCAAGTGTTGGATGTATTCAATGGTGTGTTTGTCTCCCGAAGACATGTGTCGGACAATAGCGGCCACCGATGCGTGACATGCATTGCCTGAACACCACATCAACCATACGTTTAGTGTCTAATCAATGCTATCATGAGTTATATACCTATGAGAGCGCCGACCGGCCACTGCAGGTCACCCCTCACCACAATGTATTGGACCAAATGCTGTGACACATCCGAAGACATTCAAAGTTATTGTCTTTCAATTGAATTGAAATTATTTTTAAAATCAAAATAAATGTTTCGTTCGTTTCTATAGTAATGCAAAACAACACGTGTTTTGAGTCACGGATTGAGCGCTAAATTTAAACAAATATATTATTATATTTATCACTGGATTTGATCCCAAACAACAACTTTTGTAAACCATTTGTTTAAATAATTAGTAAATTATATTTATTTTATATGAATGAGTGGACGGACGGTGTGTTCGGGGCTCTAATGAAAGTGAATATCTGTAAAGACGGATCCGTTGCCATCACTTTGGAATCGCTATCATCAGCTGAAGACCGCACCACTTGTGGATCAAATGAATGAGAAGAATGTGAATGAATGGTGAACCACTTTGTGGCCACAATTGACGGTCTAATAGGTATAATGTGGTGATCACTGATTGAGTGATCAGTAATTGTCAGTGAAATGCGTTGACAAATAAAATTCAGTATTAATGCAAAACTAATGATTGCATCGAAACCTGAATATAAGGATCATATGTTTGTTTATAATTAATAAATAAAATTTAATTTTTTAATTCATTAAACGTTTGTTTGTTTAAAAGGAGAGCTAATTATATACCGATTTAACATTACATTTGAGTTGATGTTGTGTTTTATACATGAAATGTTCATATAATTAGTTCATTAAAAACTGGTTTTTCGATATATAATCATAATTAGCACTCGTTTTTACAACTAATTTGAAAAATTAAATTAATTTGTATTATATTTGTTATGTTGTAATTCATATATTTTCGAAATATTAAATAAATTATATATTTATATAATTGAAGAGATGTTTTGAATCAATTGTTCATTAGTTTTCAAAGAGGCACTGAATATGTTTATGAATTGAAATGGTTTTTGTAATTAATTATTTTATTGTTTAATATATATAACAATAATTTATATATAAATTAAATCCGATTTTATTTTAAATGAATAATCATTTTTTAAAATATCAAATCAGAAGTTTTGTCCAAAAAATAAGCACAAAAACCTAAATATTTTTATGTTTATATTTGTTTTGTTTGTTTTTTATAGCTTTAAATTATATAATAATCAAATATAATTTAATCAAGGTTGTTAATTGAAATAATTATCGCTTCACTGCACCGATATTTGTCAAAACACTTATAGTTGTGTATAATTTTCAGGTCAATACTCCGGTACACCTTAAGTGAGAATATTCTTTACTGAGATATACAGTACGGCTGCACATGTACTCTAACACCTGTACGTTTGCAAAGTACAGTAATGTTGAGTTCGGATAATATGTACATTTTCTCAGTTCAAAGTAATTTCACATTAAGAGTCGGATATATTTCAATCATTAATTAGTTTCATGTTTTCATTTTTTTAATAGAATTGGTTTCTTAAACAATATATAAGTAATTTTTATATATAACTAATTTATGTACTGTATATACAGTTAGTTATACATAAGTATTATTTGGTTCATTATATATACTTTACAGTGTATTTACAAATGAATTTCAATTAATTAATTATTTTTATAATTCTCTTAAATTTGTTGACTAATTCTTATGCAGATTCTATGAGCCATTTATTTATATATTTATATGTAATTCTCTATTAACTCGTTATTTGTCATTTCACTAATTATTTTGTCATTAATTTAAGTAAAGATAGGAATGGAGAGAGAGAGAGAGAGAGAGAGAGAGAG